TCATTGACTGATAGTTATGGGAGGCTGGGTGAGAAACACATAGAAACTCAGTTATTTTTCCAACTTTTCTACAAATCCAAAAGCCAGTCAAACAGCTCTCAAGTGGGAGCTTACAAAAGAGCAGCCCTGACCCTCGATACGCCAGGCACTGTTCACAGCCTCACACAAGCTCACAGATCTCTATGCCACTCCCTTCTGCAGAAATAAAGAGAAACCAGACTTATCCAAGATCACATAGCTAGTGAGTACAGAGCTGGGACTCAAACTCCAACAGTGGCTCACACCTATCTTCATAGGGTTGAGGAGCCCTCTTCCCTCCTCAGCCACCAGCAGGGTTGGAGTTAGCTTTGGCTGATTTTGGTTGGTGTGGATAAGACACTCACTCTTTCCTGAATTTCTGTCTTTTGGGAGCACAGCCGAGGACAAAGATCAGCTCCACTGGCACTTGTCCTGGGCTTCACACTGGTGATCTGCACAGTCACGGGCTAGCTTCCTTTCCATTTCTGTTCTTCAGAATGCTACAACAGAGCACATTCAACAGCCTGTTGTTCTTCTTGGGGCCTTTTGGCTCCCAAGTCTGAGGCCTGCATCCAGACATCATGGTGACTGTCTTCTCCGTCTACCATACCTGCCATTACACCGTTTGTGCACAGGGCTTGCTCCCAGACAATCGGGAGCTAGGCAGGAAGTCCACCTCTGTGTGGACAGACCCAGGCTCTGCCTAGGCTCACAATGCAGAGAGCAGCTGGAGGCACAAGTGACCAAGAGGGGAATAAGTGCAGACTGCGGAGTGTGTGGGGTGGGGCAGCATCCTTACAGAAGAGGACTCAGGCACGTCTGCGATTTCAAGAAGGAGAAGAGAGATGCACACATAAGGAACTCTGGGATGCCCTGTGAGAAGGCCCTTGAACTGGGAAGAAGCCTGAGTGTCTGAGTTTAAAAAGAGAGAGTGTACACTGGGGTGTAGGGGCAAGGCGAGTGTCTGAGTTTAAAAAGAAAGAGAGTGTACACTGGGGTGTAGGGGCAAAGCAGAGTTCACAGAGTTGCCCCAATCCCATTTTTCTTCTCAGTGGAAAGAACAAGATGACCCAGGACCCTTACTTGGAGTGACTGTCAGAGTCTCACTATCAGCCTTGCTGCGCACAGCTTCTGCCATTGGTTTTTGTAAGCACAACTTGAAAGTCCTTAGGTAATGGGAAGACTGCAGTTACTGGCTATTATTTACATGCAAGTTACAGAATCTCCGAGAAGTCAGTGCTGTTCAGAACATGTTCTAAGTCCACACTGACTACCCATCCTCTAAAGACTAAACTGACATCTTACTCACGTGTGTTAGAGCATTCCTTGGAAGAAATCATGGATTGAAGGATTACAGAAATGAACAGATCTGAGAATCTTTCTAATCTAGAGTCACTGCCAGTTGAGGGCAGGGAGGAAACACCGGAGAAGCCCATAACACCAGCGGCAGAACATGGGCTCTGAGACCAGCATGGGCTCCACAGAGCATCAGGGTGGAAGGGAAGCACTGCAGCCACAGGTGCATCACCAGCATGATGGTATCCCAAGCCGGGGCTGTGAAACAGCAACTGCAGGTAATCTTGGGTGGTGTAGGGGAATGGGTCATCACTGGTGTAACTGATTATTACCACAAGCCAAAGTGTTCATGTGACTGAAGGTCAGCCACAGTGTTACCCTGAGCAGCTACCTTCAGATAATACAAGACTTCCTGGGTCCTCTGGCTCCATCAGCCCCATCAATAGTGTGGGTTTTTGTAACATCAGACTTGGTGGAGAAGCGAGACTTAACATTAAAACCACCAACTGCACGTGTTGCTGGGCACAGCAAAACTCTGGCTGACAGATGGCTTAGAAACAGGTGTGCACAGTGGCTTCTCACCCAAGGGGAGGAAAGTACTTCCTATTCTCTACTCTTCAGCTAACTCAAGTCCTTCTTGTGAATGTGGCACTGTGCTACAGAAGCAGGCAAGGGGATTTCCAATGACTCCCATAATCCCTACACACTGGAAGACTGCTGACCAGCTTCTGGGACAATGACAGCTTCCCCTCTTTCCCACCCAACTAATCACCCTATAAACTATTTCTGGGTTGGAACTCACACAACTACACTTATAAGAGCACAAAGAAGCACCACGAGTCACGGCTTAGTCCTTGTATCACAGAAATTTAGCTACATCACTCAGATCCTCCTCACTGCACCTCATTCAGAGGAAACAGTTGGGGCTCAGGGATGAGCTCGTTTCCCACAAGGCATGGCAGAAGGTGAGACAGGATCCTGAAGAAGCCAGACCAGGGTCCAGGCTGACCTTGAGCTAGCCTGGCTTCAGCTCCTTACTTCTAGAGGGGGGAGGGATTGGGCAAAGAAGTTTAGAGTTCCTTTCCATTTTAAAACAATTATGATGAGGTTAGGATGATAGCTCAGTAAGAAAATGCTTGCTGTGTAAGCATGTGGATCTGAGTTCGATTCCTAGAACCCAGGGAACTAGTTAGATGTGGAGGACGAGGGTGGCTGTGATCCCAGCATGTAGAAGTGGAGACAGGTAAATTCCCGGGGCTTGCTAGCCAGCCAGCCTAACTGAATCAGTGATGTCCAAGGCAATCAGAAACTCTGTCCCAAAAAAACAAAGTGAATAGTGTCTTTGAGGTGGTCTTCTGGTCACCATATGAACACATGCTAGTGCATGTGCAACTGCACACACATGACACACACAAATACAAATCTAGGGTAAAACCTAGAAGTAACCTGAAGGAACAGGTTACTGTTCCTTCCCACTTGGTAGAAAGTTTCCCTTGTCATAGAAGATGCTGGACATGATCAGATATTAGTAGTGTCTCTCCATTCCACTCCACCAATGACAGACCAAGTATTGGTTGACTTCCAAATAAAAGTTGTCACTTTGGCTAGGTCAAAGAGATTTCAGGACAGAATAGGGGTAGGGGACCTCTAAACTGTGGCTGTCTATGCCTAAAGCAGTCTAGGAATGTCAGCCCTAATCAGGGATTAGTGGCATTCAAAGGCAGGGGAGAGCAGCGAGAAACTCCAGCAGGGTCGGGCGCTGGGGTCAATCTGTTCCCTGCGTAAAATAACTGTAACAACAGCAAAAGCCCAAGACACTGGGGTATGGTAGAGAGGTAAATGACTGAGTGCCTCATCTGCCGCAAAACCGCCCCATTTGAATTCAATCAAACAGCATTCCCTGGCAACTGCCAATCAACTAGAACAAAGACTGTGCCAAGAGATGCTCCAACACCAATCCCTGTGCAAAAGTGCACACACAACCCCAGCAGGAGCCACCAGTTACAGCTCCCCCACATGTCCTCCCCAACCACAAAGGCCAGGGTTACAGGTGAGAGGCTTCACCTGCCATTAATTCCACAGGAATTCACTTGCCCAACCAAGCCCAGTGCTAAGGAGGGGCTGCCTCTCCTTTCTAATCAATCCTCCAGGCACAAAGAACCCTGAGAACATGATCATATCTTATGAAGCCAAACAAGAAATGACAGGAAATAAAACATCCAAAATTCACAGAAGGGAAGGTCACTGACTCTGGGCCTCTAGTGTTCACCTCCTTCAGATCATTAATCAGAACACCCAATAGCACCCTACAGAGAAAGAGGACAAGACCGGCATCAGCTCGGGCAACTCAGGGTTCTTGTTGAAGCCAAGCCTCTGACACCAAATCAAATGTGGGTCAGTGACAGCAGCTTCATGGTGGGATGGTGTTTACGCCTACATACAAGGACACAGCTTGCATGCTGACCCTGGGTAAAGGTCCAGCTCCGATGACTGGGCACCTATTCTAGGTATCAAGACAGATGCCAACTAAGTTTGTAGCCTTTGTATCCAAAAATCTTTTTCCAAGAGTCCAGAGCAAAGTCTCTTGTACTGTTGAATTTGTGCTAATTTATACTTAATTTTTTTTCCTTTTTCTTCCTTCTTTCCTTCCTTCCTTTTTTTTTTTTTTTTTTTTTTTTTTTGGTTTTGGTTTTTTTGTTTTTTGTTCCATGGCCACATGCACCAAGGCCATGGCACAAAATCTTGGCTCAGGGCCCACTGTGAAATATTCTGAAAGTGGACAGGCTCAGCCACAACAGTGACTAAACACTGTAGTATTCACTGTGTCTAAGTATCCACTGGGCTGCACAGCAGGTGTGGGTGCCTGTGTACCTGAAGTCGAGGGACAGATGCAGTGCTGACAGGTGCCAGCTCTGTCCCACCAAACTCCTAATTTCCCTGTGGAATGCCTCCAAATTGTAGACGCCAGGAACTTGGCACTAACATCTCTTAAAAGTAAAAATAAGTTAGCAAGCAATTAATAACGAAAGAAACAACCACAAGAGTGTGAGGCACAGAGCTAGGTAATAAGCCCAAGGTGTGAGGTCAGCACTTTTTGGGTCCCTATCCTGGGTCCAACAACTAAAGACTATGCAACTCTAACCTTCCAGACATCAGTTTCCCCAGTTGTATGATGGTGAAGATGCCATGCTGATTTGGGAGTGGAATAGGCACTTACTTACAGTCCCCAGGGCCACATATGGCAAGCAGTGAGATCTCAACAAATGGTCACTATTCAGTGATATGCTCAGAAATGCAAGCCTTTTAGAATTGAGAAGCTCTAGGCATAGTGCAACAAATTCAAAATGGAAGCATATTTGGATCGCAGTTACTAATTTATCAGGTTCAAAATCAATAAATGTCCACCCAGAATCCACTAGGGACCAGCTGGGTAGGCTCAGGTCCTCTGGGTGATTCTCCCACAAATGGCCCACACTAGGGAGCCACTGATGTTTGGTGTACCAAACAGTCACGTTGTTGATTCCCCTTTGCTGGTGTTGCACTCTCCCTGGTCCTAACTTCAGGGATGGAATGCCTTGCCTTGGTAGGCTCAGGGTGCTGGGTCAGGAGCTGTGCCGGCCTCCAATCGACTGGGCTCTTTCTGAATCCCCCTCAAACTTAAACACCACGCCCTCCTAGGAACTCACCCCTCTCCTTTGGGCCTCGTAGTTCAGGGCGGCCACCCAGGCCATTTGCCACTGGCTCTCCCAGCTATCCAGTGTCAGTATCCAGGACAGGAGCGTGTCTGACTCCCGGCGCCGACGCTCGTCCGGCTCCGCCCGCCGCCTGGGCGGGGGTCGCGTCCTGGCCAGCGTCCATTGCGCCAAGTACAGGCCCACCGTGCCCAGGGCCGCGACGAAGAGGGACACCAGGATGAGCCACTGTACCTCGCCGAGCCACGATCCCATGCTGACGGTGCATACCCGGAGCGCGCGCCCCGACTTCCCCGAGCAGCCGTGGCCCCGGGGCGCGGAGCGAAAGGCTGGCGACTCAGGACATCCGCCGGGGCGCAGGGGCGCGGGGTCTGGGGGCTGAGAGGCAGAGACTGCGAGGAGGGCGGCGGGAACCGGTCTAGGTGCTGAATAGAGCACTGCGCACCTGGAACTGGAATGCAGGACAGAGGCGGCCTCTCCCCAAGCGCGGCTGGGAAGTGCGGGGCCGGGCGCTTCCTCTTTGCTCCCAGCCCCGGGCGCCCGGCCCGCCGCCTGCAGTAGCCGCAGGAGGTCGGACCTGGGGGCGGGCAGAAGCAGAGTCTTCCTTCACAGCTCCGCCCCTTAAAGGTCCCGGGCGCCTGCACAGACTAAGCGCTCAGGGCCTCTCCCACACAACCCTGAGTGGTAGCAAGATGGTGATCTCCTGGGGAGCCGCGTTTGGCGCCTTCAACCGCAAGGGCTACTGCCGGGCGCCCTGGCTGGGGTCTGTGCGCGCGTGCGCGTTGGTAAGCGATGCCCCAATGAAGTGAGAATTCCAAGAATTTCGCGACCACTGGGACTGGGTTTTTGTAAGGCCAGCCAGCAAAGGCAGCACGTAGCTGTCACCCTAAAGTAGGCTTATGGGCTGCCATATGGGGCCAATGCCTGTGCTAATTCAAGATCCTGGAATGAGCTTGTCAAACCCAGGTCCTAGTTCAGAATGTGGATGCATCACTGACTTTTTTGCGGAGGGGTGGGGGGTGTGCACCCTGTGTCTATTTTGTGCATTTGTGACACACTTCTTCATGCTCAACTTGAGAAAGGAATATTAAAAAAAGTTGTCAGAATCAGAGTAGCCAGATTCTCTAAGACCTGACACAGCCTTATCTCTTCAGCTGTGTTATTTGCAGCTGTGTCAATGGAACTGGATTTGAAGTTGGGCAAGGTGGACCTAACATTCAGTCTTCTCTTACTATGTAGGAGTCTGCTAGCCAATGACTGGCTACTCGGGGGTGGGGGTGGGGGTGGAGAATTGAACCTAGATTCAGTGTCCCCTTCACCTCTGTCTTTGAGGAGAAAGACTGGGTGGCAGTTGGACAGAGGGAACTTGTGGGAACAGAATGGAATCCTCTAAAGGCTGCTGGTGTTGAAGCTGAGCCTTTCCTAGTCAGGATATGGGATTAAAAACTACGTAAGTTACCATAGACTGATGAGTACTGGTATAGTCCAAAGACTAGAGGCTCTGACCGACTCCCATTTCCCCTCTTTACACCTGGTATTTTAAGCAAAAGTAAATGAAATCTATTCTCATTTGAAGAAAGGGTCAATTATTTTCTGACCTATAGCTAGATCTATGCAATTGAGTGGTGTGGGTCTTACCAGGCACCTGAAAGTCTAGACCATATCTCCCTGTGCCCAAGTCCTCCTGTGTGTGTTCATGTGAGTTCACGTATGCTGGCTGCTACTGTGTGGGTGGTGATGAGGAGGAGCTCATCCATCCTGTGTGACTGGTACAACCAGTCTCATTCCTCCATTGACATATCTCAGGGGCTACTCACCCTACTGATACAGCTACAGGCTTGTAACAAACTGCAAATTAACCACCACCTCTAGTCTGGGATGTGTCATATTTCCATATGTGTCTACAAAGAGACTGTTGATATACAGATATACAGGGTGTCAATATTTGCTTCTAGAAACAAACTGTGGGGAAATAATGACATGGGCTTATGGGACAATGCAGGTAGTCAAAACATGCTTGCAACTAGAGCAGAAACACCTTGTAAGTTCATAAAGAGATCAGGCCTTTCTAGTTTCTCCTCTCAGTGGATCTGGGCTACTCAGTTTTCTGGCAAAAGTAATACACACCTTCCTTATCATGACATTCCTTGCTCCCAGGAGGTCGCTGTTCTTTCCTGCACCCATCTTTGACCTGGGGAGCAGAATACAGTTCTGTGAGGAGCACCTGGCCTCACTTCAGTGGATTTTAATAGGTCTAGTTAGTTTTCAGTCACATTTGGCTGTGACTGTTTGTTGAGTTTAACCACTGTGTGTGTGTATGTGTGTGTGTGTGTGTGTGTGTGTGTGTGTACTATGCCTATGTGTGTTTCAGGTACATGTACCCATACACAGCAGCAAAGGCTGGAGAAGGACATCAGGTGTCTCACTCCACTTTCAACCTTACTCCCTTGAGACAGGATCTCTTTACTGACTCTGGAGGTAGGTTGTTGACCCATAAGCCCCAGCACTTTTCTATCTCTGTCCCCTTCCCCCAGCTCTGGTGTTACAGTGCTACAGGCAGGCTTCCCCCACGTCTGGCTTTTTACATGTGTTCAAGGGATTTAAACTCAGGCCCCACATAGCAAGTGCTCTTACCCACTGGTCCATCTCCCTAGTTCAGATTGAAAAGCTCTTCAGTGCAAAAGTTTGTGATTCTGAGTTGCTATGAGTAGGTGAGGTAGGAGTCTGTGCGTGGAGGAGGACCCTAGGCGTGCTGGCGGCTGCCCCCAAGTCAACTCTCCGCTGTGGTAGTTAGTGGATGTTGAAACATTTCCCAGATGCTTAGCCTGGGCTTCTAGCATTTTACATCAAACCACAGGAGCCACCAGAATCAGCTGTCTTCCTGGAGGACTTCCAAAGGCTTCACTCTGAACTTAAACCAGATCTCCCTTCATTAGTGGAGGAAAGCAGAGGACCCATGTTCTAAATTCCTCTCCAGCACGCTTCCTAGAGCTAGCCCCCCAGAGCCTAGAACAAAAAGCCCCACTGTTCCAGCTTTCATTCCAGACATTTCTGAGATGCTCATCACCCAGTCAAGAGGTACCTGCTGAATGTTTTATGCTGACTCACCCTGTTTTATTGGAGGAGGCCACTAGCTTGTTCCCAACTGCTCAGCAGCTCAGACCCAAAATAATCAAACAGAAACTGTATTAATTAAATCACTGTTTGGCCTATTTGCTCTAACTTCTTATTGACCAGCTCTTACATTTTAATTTAACCCATTTCTAGTAATCTGTGTATCACTACGTGGCTGTGGCTTATTGGCTAAAGTTCTGCCTGGCTCTGGTAGGACTACATGGCTTCTCTCTGACTCCACCTTCTTTCTCTCAGCATTCAGTTTAGTTTTCCCCGCCTATCTAAGTTTTACCCTATCAACAGGCCAAGTGTTACCTTATTAACCAATGGTATTCACAGCATACAGAGGGGAATCCCACATCACTGTTTGACGGCAATTTCCTCATCTATATGTCAAGGCTGGGCATATTTTGCCATCTTCAAATTCAGAAGATATAAGGATGCTGTATTTTCAGAAATAAACATATCTAGTGTTAAAAGATTTATGTCTGTATATAGTTATCCTCATTCATATGAGAAATTATTCATTATTGTTGAACAGTTATTTTGTGGGGATTTTTTTCTTAGACAGTCTCATTTAACCCAGGCTGACCTTTAACTTGCCATGTAGCCATGCAGATAGTTCTGAACTCCTGATCCTCTTGCCTCTGACCCCTGAGTGCTGGGATTATAGATGTATACCACCATGCCCAGTTTTATGTGATACTAAGGGACGGAACCTTGGTCCTCACATATGTCAGGCAAACATTCTACCAACTGTGTGACATCCCCAGCTCACTTAAAGACTTATAAACATACTTCCAAAGGAGTGGGACTTTTGTTAAATTTCCAATATAATTATCTTAAACATCTGAACAAAAGGAAAAGGGGGTTCCAGGAACTCTCCAGTGTGTCTCTTCTCCTAGAAGTATCTATTGGAATTATCAAGTTGTGCACAGAGTCCTGGGAGATAGCAGTTGTTGGGGGAGCTATCATGGTTGCCTCCCAGGCCAGCTAAACCAGCAGGGCCTCTACTCTGATGCCCCTGTCACCCCAAGAAGTTCCTTTCAGCTGACTTTGTGGTGCAATACCCAGGGCCATGCTGCGGGAGTAACCAGAGTGTGGGAAGACATTTGGCTCAGTATCCTGTCTCCAATTGACTTTAGGCCAGCTTCTTGTCATGCCTGTAGAGTCCAAACAAGGAGCCAATGAAAGAGGCAAGGCGCACACACACACACACACACACACACACACACACACACACACACACACCTCCTATCAGAACTAGTCCCAGTCAAAACATCCCTTTCTTTTATCATGTCACTTTCTGAGCTTGTGGCTGGGTCCTTTTTCCTGTGGCCTTTCTTGGGGGTAGCGACTCTCCCCAGAACTTTCAGTAAGAAAAAGTGAAGCCTCTATGGGTGGAGAACAGTCAGCTATCTCCCTTGAATGTGGTCAACAGAAATGGCAGCATTATGAAGCAGGACCCCTTCTGACAGGTATGGTACTCCAAGTCACACAGCTAGGTGAGATACCTGGTAGGCACTCATGAAGGTCACCTCAGCTGCCATCAGAACCTGCCCAAGACACTGGGATTTTATAGACTCACTTTCTGCTCATGGAAACACTAGAAGGAAAACATTGTCCCACTTTAGAAAAGAAACTTTGTTCAGAGAGGAGGAGAAATTTGTCCAAGGTAACAACAAGAAAATGACTAAACTAAAGTTTAACCCCTTTGGGTTCTTTGTGACCAAACCCAACATCCTGTCCTACTTTATAAAGACAGAGGCAAGCAAATTTTATACTTCAATTTCAAAAACTGGAAGTAAATGAGTCCCCTTTCTCTTGATCACAGGTAGAAACTTATCTAAATGAAACATGGGGGGGAAGCTCTTAAACCTGAGAGATCAGTCATTCGGGAACCCAATTAATGAACAGTAGAGAGTAGCTGTATGTCTTCAAGCCAGACCTGGGAAATACCTAGATGAATCCAGTCCCAGCACCTCTGTGGAGATGGTCAGGCAATCCCATGATCATCTTGATAGGTCTGCATCCTAGTGCAAATACCCATCAAACGACAGGACATGCCCCCAGATCCCACCCAAGTGACATCTACTGATGCGCCTGAGTCATGTTATCAGGATCTGAGCAGGGCCTCCTGCCCTGGACAGACTGAGGAAATGTCCATGATTCTGCTGAAGCTGAATTTACAAAGGAATGTGGCTGGGTGACAGCCTGCCTGTGGCAGGTAGCTTGAATTAGCTTCCCACAGGAGTTCTCAGGAGGAATTGCTTGTTTGATTGGGTGGGAACACCCTTAAGAGCAAAAAGCAGGAAGCCAACATGTTGAGATAATTCTCTAAAACTTTCCCTTTATTCTGGGGTTTTCCAGCTCCAAGGAATACTGGCCCCTCCTTGTGCATGCATACCTGAAGCTGGCCTGGGAACTGACACCAAGCTGGGTTCACCAT